ACACTTTCCGTGTGTAACAAGGTGACACTTTTCGTGTGTAACAAGGTGACACTTTCCGCGTGTAACAAGGTGACACTTTCCGTGTGTAACAAGGTGACACTTTCCGTGTGTAACAAGGTGACACTTTCCGCGTGTAACAAGGTGACACTTTCCGTGTGTAACAAGGTGACACTTTCCGTGTGTAACAAGGTGACACTTTCCGCGTGTAACAAGGTGACACTTTCCGCGTGTAACAAGGTGACACTTTCCGTGTGTAACAAGGTGACACTTTTCGTGTGTAACAAGGTGACACTTTCCGTGTGTAACAAGGTGACACTTTCCGCGTGAAACAAGGTGACACTTTCCGCGTGTAACAAGGTGACACTTTCCGCGTGTAACAAGGTGACACTTTCCGCGTGTAAGAAAGCGACGCTTTCCGGCACTCCGCTCGGCTCAGAGTCGGTGCCTCCAACCGATCCGTCTCATCCTGCCCCTTGACCCACAAATGCCGGTGCGGTCTCAATTCCTGTCGCATTAATTATCCTAATTTATCTCTCGCTCGGCGCATGAAAAAAATTATTATTATTTAAAGAAGTCGTGGGGGGTGGAGGGGAGGGGCTGCTCTCCCCCCACCACCCTCCACACTCCCCCACCATCATTATCATCATCCCACCTCCTCTTCAACAGAAGCAGCAGCGGTGGCAGAAAAAGGTGTTCGTAAAACACGCGGCGTGTGGATGCGTGCGATAAAATTGCTGCCTCCTTAATTTCTCAAAGCGGCTTCATTAAGGGGGTTCAATTAGTGCGATTCCTCCTCCACCACCACCACCACCACCCCACCCCACCCTCTCAAAGTCACGGAAATCAAATTAACCTTGGCGTGCCGGGTAAGTAAAAGGGACACGGAAGAGAGAGAGAGGAAAAGAAAGGCCGGAGAAGTTTCCTCGTTTAATTCTGGGGATGGATGGGGAGCCGAGTGGATGCGTGGTTTGTGTGTGTGGGGGGAGCGGTGGTGCAGCGGTTAGCGCTACGAACCCCGGCCACCCGAGTTCGATTCCCGCTCACGGCCACCAACACCGGTGACGATTATCTGAACTGATCCTGGCCCCCCCCTAAGTCGACTCGGCCTCAAATGAGTACCTGGTGCGGTGTGTAGTAAACATCGCCACTGGGGGAGACAAAGGCGGCCGGGCGTGGGTGCTGGCCACCCACTCCCTCGTTTGCCGTGCCGGTCTTCATAGGCGCTCGCTAACAGCACTTGCCCCTACTGTCTGTCTAAGTCTTCTTGGTTCTTTCGGTAAAGTCACGTAGAAGGGAAGTAATAAAATAATAAAAATGAAACATAATACAATTTTATTATGCTTTTTTTTATTATGTTTTAGTTTTATTATTTTATTACTTCCCTTCTACGTGACTTTACCGAAAGAACCAAGAAGATGAATCCCTGCAGTCACGAAAGCTTTAAATCGAAATTTAAAATCTGTCTAAGGTTCAGCAGTTTTTTCTTGCTGTGGTTGTGCCACTCTGATGACGATTTGCTTGTTTTGCGATCGAAACGTCGTGATGTATTATTTTTCTACCCACGTGACTTTACCGAAAGAACCAACGAGTATGGAGTCTGTTAAGGCTTTATGGGGGATCATTTTCTTTATTTTAGCGACACAGAAAAAGGTGCCCCGTATAGCCTGTAACAGACCCTTGGGGTCAAGTGCTGTTCGTGAGTAGCACCACCTATGAAGGCCGACACGGCACATGAAACTGCGGGTCTCTGTGTGAGTCTGTGGGTCTCTGTGTGAGTCTGTTGGTCTCTGTGTGAGTGTGCGGGTCTCTGTGTGAGTCTGTGGGTCTCTGTGTGAGTCTGTGGGTCTCTGTGTGAGTCTATGGGTCTCTGTGTGAATGTGGGTCTCTGTGTGAGTCTGTAGGTCTCTGTGTGAGTGTGCGGGTCTCTGTGTGAGTCTGTGGGTCTCTGTGTGAGTCTATGGGTCTCTGTGTGAATGTGGGTCTCTGTGTGAGTCTGTTGGTCTCTGTGTGAGTGTGCGGGTCTCTGTGTGAGTCTGTGGGTCTCTGTGTGAGTCTATGGGTCTCTGTGTGAGTCTGTAGGTCTCTGTGTGAGTGTGGGTCTCTGTGTGAGACTGTGGGTCTCTGTGTGAGTCTGTGGGTCTCTGTGTGAGTCTATGGGTCTTTGTGTGAGTCTGTGACTCTCTGTGTGAGTCTGTGGGTCTCTGTGTGAGTCTGTGGGTCTCTGTGTGAGTCTGTGGGTCTCTGTGTATGTGGGTCTCTGTGTGAGTCTATGGGTCTCTGTGTGAGTCTGCGGGTCTCTGTGTGAGTGTGGTCTCTGTGTGAGTCTATGGGTCTCTGTGTGAGTCTATGGGTCTTTGTGTGAGTCTGCGGGTCTCTGTGTGAGTGTGGGTCTTTGTGTGAGTCTGTGGGTCCCTGTGTGAGTCTATGGGTCTCGGTGTGGGCCTATGGGTCTCTGCGTGAGTCTATGGGTCTCTGTGTGAATGTGGGTCTCTGTGTGAGTCTATGGGTCTCTGAGTGAGTGTGGGTCTCTGTGTGAGTCTGTGGGTCTCTGTGTGAGTCTATGGGTCTCTGTGTGAGTCTATGGGTCTCTGTGCGAGTCTGTGGGTCTCTGTGTGAGTCTATGGGTCTCTGTGTGAGTCTATGGGTCTCTGTGCGAGTCTGTGGGTCTCTGTGCGAGTCTGTGTAGCGAGGACGCCTTCTCGATGTGACCATTGGCTACGCAGCACAACACGCACAGTCCTCGTCCAAGTCGAGACACAACTGAGCTCAACGCAGCTCCCAGCAAACACAAACCCACGTGGAGAGCAAAAACCGCAAAAAGCGAGTTGACGATTTCGATTTAAAGCTTTCGTGACTGCAGGGATTCATCTTCTTGGTTCTTTCGGTAAAGTCACGTAGAAAGGAAGTAATAAGTTACGTGCAATCCCTGCAGTCACGAACGCTTTAAATCGAAATTTAACCGCCTCTACGGGGAGGGATTCCACATAATGTATTACTTCCCTTCTACGTGACTTTACCGAAAGAACCAAAAAGATGAGTTGACGATTGTTCACAATTTGTCGACCCCCCCCCTCCCCCTCCTCCTCCAAACACCCCCTCATCCCTGCAGCAAACGCAACCCCACAACTCGCCCCGAGGGCAATTAGCTCTCGCCTAACTTAATTCTCTGCCCTAATTAATCTCTCAATTAAGTTATCCTGCCAGAGCCCAACCTCGGCTCGAAGCCCTGTGGGCAGGTCAAGGCGGCACACTAATGATGCCATTAAAGGGTCTCCCCTCCCCTCCCCCTCACCCCCCCCCCCCGCTCCATGTCGGGTCCCAATGCTGCCGTTTGTTGGCGGAAGGCAGAACGTTCCAGACGGCCGCAGGAGCGCGCGAGCGTCGTCTTTGTCACGTGGCTGAGCAAAAGACGCCGCTGCTGCCGCTGCTGTTGCGAGGATGAAGGGGTGGGGTGATGGTGGGGGGGGGGTGGTGGGGGTGGTGGTGAGGTTTGGTGGTGGTGGGGGGGTGGTGGGGGTGGTGGTGGGGGAGGTGATGGGGTTTGGTGGTGGGGGGGTGGTGGGGTTTGGTGGGGGTGGTGTGGTGGTGGGGGGGGGTGGTGGTGGGGTGGTGGGGGGGTGGTGGGTAGTGGGGGAGGTGGTGAGGGAGGTGGTGGGGTGGTGGTGGGGGAGGTGGTGGGGGGGTGGTGGGGGGTGGTGGGGGAAGTGGTGGGGGTGGTGGGGGTGGTGGTGGGGGGGTGGTCGGGGTGGATGGTGGTGGGGGGGGGGTGGTGGGGGTGGTGATGGTGGTGGGGGGGTGGTGGTGGGGGGGTGGTGGGGTTTGATGGTGGGGGGGTGGTGAGGAGGTGGTGGGGGTGGTGGGGTTTGGTGGTGGGGGAGGTGCTGGGAGTGGTGGTGGGGGGGGGGGGGTGGTGGAGTTTGGTGGTGGGGGTGTCGTGGGGGGGTGGTTGTGGTGGTGGGGGTGGTGGATGGTGGTGGTGGTAGTAGTGGGGTGGCTGGTGGAGTGGGTGGTAGGGGGGGGGAGGCGGTGGAGTTTGGTGGTGGGGGTGTTGTGGGGGGGGTGGTGGTGGGGGAGGTGGTGGTGGTGGGTGGTGGGTGGTGGTAGTAGTGGGGTGGCTGGTGGGGTGGGTGGTGGGGGGGGTTGTGGGTCAGCACCGGGATCAGGGTCAATGTTGGAGGGTCAGGGTCACGGTTTGACTTTCTTGACTCAGTTTCAGAGGCGCAGGCCCAGTGCAGGATGAAGCTGAGTGCGGGGCCTGTAGGTTATGATGTTATAAAGGGGCCCTAAACAAATAAATAAACACACAAATATTAAAACACAAATTTTTTATTTGCAGAGTAAAGTCATTGCATTTTTTATTCGCTATACAGCCAAATACGACAAATCGCTAACCTTAAACACCCAGTCGTTCATAAAAGTTGAAGGCGGTATAGTACTATAGTGATATAGCAAGTGCAGAATCACTGAACCGTAATTGATAGCTTGAAAGCATTCAGCGCGGGGCTCTTGAAAGTGCGGAGTCCGTGGCTTCTACATATATAGTAGTAGCTACTACTACATATATACATAAGTAGTAGTAGCTACTACTACTTATGTAGTAGTAGCTATGGGTCTCTGTATGAGTCTAACACATGTAGTAGCTACTACATATGTAGCTACTACTACATATGTAGTAGCTACTACATATGTAGTAGTAGCTACTACACATGTAGTAGCTACTAATACATGTAGTAGTAGCTACTACATGTGTAGTAGCTACTACTACATGCAGTAGCTACTACACGTGTAGTAGTAGCTACTACACGTGTAGTAGTAGCTACTACACGTGTAGTAGTAGCTACTACTACACAAGTAGTAGCTACTACACGTGTAGTAGCTACTACATATGTAGCTACTACACGTGTAGTAGATACGATAGTAGCTACATATGTAGTAGTAGCTACTACACGTGTAGTAGCTACTACATATGTACTACATGTGTAGTAGTAGCTACTACACATGTAGTAGTAGCTACTACTACACAAGTAGTAGCTACTACACGTGTAGTAGCTAGCTACTACTTATGCAGCTACTACACGTGTAGTAGCTACTACTACATATGTAGCTACTCTTGCGACTGCGATAATCCGGCATGGCGTGGGCCACTCTCTGCGTCGACAAGACATCGGTCGGCGTGGGCTGGACGACGGGCCTCCCACGCCGTCTGAAGCCGCTGCGGGGTTTGTGACATCGGCATCAGCAGCATCAGCATCATCAGCAGCATCAGCAGCATCAGCATCAGCAACATCATCATCAGCAGCATCAGCAGCAGCATCAGCAGCAGCAGCATCAGCAGCAGCAGCATCATCAGCAGCAGCAGCATCAGCAGCAGCATCAGCAGCAGCAGCATCAGCAGCAGCATCAGCAGCAGCAGCATCAGCAGCAGCATCATCAGCAGCAGCATCAGCAGCAGCATCAGCATCAGCAGCATCAGCACGACGAGGATGGGGGTGGTGTTGTCACTATTTGGGCTCTGGGGGAGAGGTCGCAAACGGGTTTTGATTCCTTACCCGTACCCGTACCCGGCCGCACCAGGGTCGCAATCGGGTACCTGTATCCGTACCCTACCCGATACCTGGCTACCCGTACCCGGCCGGGTATCGGGTAGGGTACGGGTATCGGGTACCCGATTGCAACCTCTGGGGTGAAGCCATGTTGCAGGCGCGGGTGGGTTGATTCTAGGAACTTGAATTGTGAGAAGAGACAAGACGTTGGGAAATGAGTGACAAACGGTGACTCACCAGTGACTCACGGCCTACCCGTAGCCGTACCCGGCCGCACCAGGGTCGCAAACGGGTACCCATACCCTACCCGGCCGAGTATCGGGTAGGGTACGGGTATCGGGTAGGGTAGCCGGGTATCGGGTACGGGTAGCCGGGTATCGGGTAGGGTACGGGTCTCGGGTAGGGTACGGGTCTCGGGTAGGGTACGGGTCTCGGGTAGGGTACGGGTATCGGGTAGGGTACGGGTATCGGGTAGCCGGGTATCGGGTAGGGTACGGGTATCGGGTCGGGTACGGGTATCGGGTAGGGTACGGGTATCGGGTAGGGTACGGGTATCGGGTAGGGTTCGGGTATCGGGTAGGGTACGGGTATCGGGTATGGGTAGCCGGGTATCGGGTAGGGTACGGGTCTCGGGTAGGGTACGGGTCTCGGGTAGGGTACGGGTCTCGGGTAGGGTACGGGTCTCAGGTAGGGTACGAGTATCGGGTAGGGTTCGGGTATCGGGTAGGGTACGAGTATCGGGTATGGGTAGCCGGGTATCGGGTAGGGTACGGGTATCGGGTAGGGTAGCAGGGTATCGGGTAGGGTACGGGTATCGGGTAGGTTACGGGTATCTGGTAGCCGGGTATCGGGTAGGGTACGGGTATCGGTTAGTGTACGGGTATCGGGTAGGGTACGGGTATCGGGTAGGGTACGGGTATCTGGTAGGGTACGGGTATCGGGTAGCCGGGTATCGGGTAGGGTACGGGTATCGGGTAGGGTACGGGTATCGGGTAGGGTACGGGTATCGGGTAGGGTACGGGTATGGCCGCGGAGAATCCGCGTGCGGGAAAATCCACGTGCGGTGCTCTAGGTGTCGTAGGCCGCCATCAGGTAGTCCTTGGGGACCAGGCCCACGGATCCATTGGCCTCTCCCACCCACCAGCGGAACGCATCGTACTCCTTGTATGGGGGGGGGGGGGCAGAGGGGGTGGGGGGGGGCACGTGGTGGGGGGTGGGTTAGGTACGCTTCGTCAAGGGTCGCGGTGGCTAGGACTAGGAGATGTTAACTACCTCGCCTGGTCTACAGGGGGTCGTGGGTTCGATCCCGACCCTGACGCCTGCTGCTGTATATTTGGAGTTTTCGTGTCTCTCTCTCTCATCATCATCACGGTGGCTAGGAGATGTTAACTACCTCGCCTGGTATACAGTAGGTCGTGGGTTCGATCCCGACCCTGACGCCTGCTGTATATTTTGAGTTTCCGTGTCTCTCTCTCATCATCATCATCATCACGGTGGCTAGGATATGTTAACTACCTTGCCTGGTATACAGGAGGTCGTGGGTTCGATCCCGACCCTGACGCCTGCTGCTGTATATTTGGACTTTGCGTGTCTCTCTCTCTCATCATCATCACGGTGGCTAGGAGATGTTAACTACCTCGCCTGGTATACAGGAGGTCGTGGGTTCGATCCCGACCCTGACGCCTGCTGCTGTATATTTGGACTTTGCGTGTCTCTCTCTCTCATCATCATCACGGTGGCTAGGAGATGTTAACTACCTCGCCTGGTATACAGGAGGTCGTGGGTTCGATCCCGACCCTGACGCCTGCTGCTGTATATTTGGACTTTGCGTGTCTCTCTCTCTCATCATCATCACGGTGGCTAGGAGATGTTAACTACCTCGCCTGGTATACAGGAGGTCGGGAAGGAGGGGAGGGAAGGAGGGGAGGTGAAGGAGGGATGGAGGGGAGGGGAGGGAGGGAGGGTAGGCGTTGCGTGATTCGGATCGAACGTTGACGAATGAGTCTCATCGCTGTAGGGACACAGTCTGTGGGAAGATGACGAGTGAAGGATAATGCTTGGGCTGACCTCAGAGAAAGAGAGAGAGAGACTGAGAGTGAGTGGTGGGCCCTGTCCCTCGGAAACGGGGCATTGTGTGTGTGTCGCGTCGCAGTCGGAACACTACGCCTCTCATTTCTCACGGCTCGAGTTCGCTCAATGGAATTGCAAACCACTCAAAAAATGTCACGGTGGCTTTTCCGTGCGTCGGTGGCCAGGCTGAGACGACCGTCAACTCATTACTTGAGAACTGCTCCGTCTGTTGTCCTTCCCCCGTGCACCTTCGTTGAGCACGGTTGGCTACGTACGATGCGAAAGAAGTTCAACACATGTACATAGACTCACACAGAGACCCACAGAGACCCATAGACTCACACAGAGACCCGTAGACTCACACAGAGACCCACAGAGACCCATAGACTCACACAGAGACCCATAGACTCACACAGAGACCCATAGACTCACACAGAGACCCACAGAGACCCATAGACTCACACAGAGACCCATAGACTCACACAGAGACCCATAGACTCACACAGAGACCCATAGACTCACACATAGACCCACAGACTCACAGATAGCCGGGTATCGGGTAGGGTACGGGTACCCGTTTGCGACCCTGGTGCGGCCGAGTACGGCTACGGGTAGGCCGTGAGTCGCTGGTGAGTAACTATTTGTCACTCATTTCCCAACGTCTTGTCTCTTCTCACAATTCAAGTTCCTAGAATCAACCCACCCGCGCCTGTAACATGGCTTCATCCCAGAGGTCGCAATCAGGTACCCGATACCCGTACCCTACCTGTACCCGGCCGGTGACGGGTAGCCGGGTATCGGGTAGGGTACGGGTACCCGATTGCGACCCTGGTGCGGCCGGCTACGGCTACGGGTAAGGAATCAAAACCCGTTTGCGACCTCTGGCGCTGCACCTTGCTGAGGACGTGGACGAGGTCTCCGCGCTTGAAGGACAGCTCGTCCACGCAGTCGGCCGAGCAGTCCCACAGGCCCTGGTAGAAGCTGTCGTACTGCTGCGTCGCGTCCCACGCTGGGGGGGGGGGGGGGGGGGGGGGGGGGGGCACGCGGACAGACAGACGGACAGACGGACGGACGGAGGGAGGGGATGCGTGGAGAGACAGAGGGAGAAGCGGGTGCGATGGATGGGATGGGGAGATGGAGAGAGAGACAAATGGAGTCTAGGTTTCCATGTGAATCGTGGGTCTCTGTGTGAGTCAATGGGTCTCTGTGTGAGTCTCTGGGTCTCAGTGTGAGTCTCTGGGTGTCTGTGTGAGTCTACGGGTCTCTGTGTGAGTCTATGGATCTCTGTTTGAGTCTATGGGTCTCTGTGTGAGTCTATGGGTCTCTGTGTAAGTCTATGGGTATCTGTGTGAGTCTATGGGTCTCTGTGTGAGTCTATGGGTCTCTGTGTGAGTCTATGGGTCTCCGTGTGAGTCTCCGGGTCTCTGTGTGAGTCTATGGGTCTCTGTGTGAGTCTATGGGTCTCTGTGTGAGTCTACGGGTCTCTGTGTGAGTCTTTGGGTCTCTGTGTGAGTCTATGGGTCTCCGTGTGAGTCTATGAGTCACTGTGTGAGTCTACGGGTCTCTGTGTGAGTCTATGAGTCTCTGTGTGAGTCTATGAGTCTCTGTGTGAGTATATGGGTCTCCGTGTAAGTCTATGAGTCTCTGTGTGAGTCTACGGGTCTCTGTGTGAGTGTGGGTCTCTGTGTGAGTCTTTGGGTCTCTGTGTGAGTATATGGGTCTCTGTGTGAGTCTATGGGTCTCCGTGTGAGTCTATGAGTCTCTGTGTGAGTCTACGGGTCTCTGTGTGAGTCTATGAGTCTCTGTGTGAGTCTATGAGTCTCTGTGTGAGTATATGGGTCTCCGTGTGAGTCTATGAGTCTCTGTGTGAGTCTACGGGTCTCTGTGTGAGTGTGGGTCTCTGTGTGAGTGTGGGTCTTTGTGTGAGTATATGGGTCTCTGTGTGAGTATATGGGTCTCTGTGTGAGTCTATGAGTCTCTGTGTGAGTCTACGGGTCTCTGTGTGAGTCTCTGGGTCTCTGTGTGAGTCTATGAGTCTCTGTGTGAGTCTATGGGTCTCCGTGTGAGTCTATGGCTCTCTGTGTGAGTCTATAGGTCTCTGTGTGAGTCTATGAGTCTCTGTGTGAGTCTATGGGTCTCTGTGTGAGTCTATGGGTCTCTGTGTGAGTCTATGGGTCTCTGTGTGAGTCTCTAGGTCTCTGTGTGAGTCTATGGGTCTCTGTTTGAGTCTGTGGGTCTCTGTGTGAGTCTATGGGTCTCTGTTTGAGTCTGTGGGTCGCTGTGTGAGTCTATAAGTCTCTGTGTGAGTCTATGAATCTCTGTGTGAGTATATGGGTCTCCGTGTGAGTCTATGAGTCTCTGTGTGAGTCTACGGGTCTCCGTGTGAGTGTGGGTCTCTGTGTGAGTCTATGGGTCTCTGTGTGAGTGTGGGTCTCTGTGTGAGTCTATGGGTCTCTGTGTGAATCTATGGGTCACCGTGTGAGTCTATGGGTCTCTGTGTGAGTCTCTGGGTCTCTGTGTGAGTCTATGAGTCTCTGTGTGAGTCTATGGTTCTCTGTGTGATTCTATGGGTCTCCGTGTGAGTCTACGGGATACTCGTCGCTGGTGTTTGTGGCCGTGAGCGGGAGTGGAACTCGGGTGTTGTGTCCCACACGTCATCGTGGGAGTCGCAGCGCCAAGCGCCCCGCTACCTTCAGCGGCCGAGTTCAACTCGGGCTTGGAGGCAACGGGAGGTGGCGCTTGGGCCGATTTGGCTGCGTCAGTCCGCGTCACCACCACCGGCTCCTCGTCGTCGTCTTCTGTCGGAGATGAAAATTAGTAACAAGTATAACCCGTAAAAACAAAGTTTTTCACTATAAATCCTTTATATGCGTGGCGGCTAGAGTCCTCTCGTCCTCTGGCTTGAGATGGCTGCCACCTATGGGTCAGATGATTGTCTGCCAGCATTAAGCAATTGGTAATTAAATATTTAATTAGTTTTCCCTAAACAGTGTAACATTTTGGAAAAAAAAGTCACGAACATTAATTGTCTCGCACAACGAGTCTGTGTGCAAAATGTCAGCTCGATTGGATCACGGGAAGTGGCTTAAAAAACGACCGAAAGATGTGCACGGTCGTAAGCAAGCAAGTGAACTTAATATAAAGGATTTAAAAACTCCATCAGATCAACATCATCAGCCGGCAGCAGTCACTGTACATCCGCTGCTCGATGAATGGATCAAGTTCTTCCCCCACTCACATTTGCTCCGCTACCGCCCACTTCTCAGGTAGCCCCGCCCACTATCCAGGTAGCCCCGCCCACCACCCTCTGCTAGCCCCGCCCACCGCCCAACTAGCCCCACCCACCGCCCAGGTAGCTCCGCCCACCACCCTCTGCTAGCCCCGCCCACCACCCTCTGCTAGCCCCGCCCACCGCCCAGCTAGCCCCGCCCACTGTTCGTGTAGCTCCGCCCACCACCCTCTGCTAGCCCCGCCCACCACCCAGCTAGCCCCGCCCACCGCCCAGCTAGCCCCACCCACTGTTCGTGTAGCTCCGCCCCACCACCCTCTGCTAGCCCCGCCCACCACCCAGCTAACCCCACCCACCACCCAGCTAGCCCCGCCCACCGCCCAGCTAGCCCCACCCACCACCCAGCTAGCCCCACCCACTGTTCGTGTAGCTCCGCCCACCACCCTCTGCTAGCCCCACCCACCGCCCAGCTAGCCCCACCCACCACCCAGCTAGCCCCACCCACCACCCAGCTAGCCCCACCCACCACCCAGCTAGCCCCACCCACCACCCAGCTAGCCCCACCCACCACCCAGCTAGCCCCACCCACTTCTCGTGTAGCTCCGCCCTCTGCCCCCCACCGAATCACGACGCAGTGGGGCACGAGACGGAGCCGTTGTCTTTAAACTCGGGGACACGAGAGAAACAAAATTGTTGCAAAAACTTCATGGCGCAGAGACGCCCCGGGGAGAGAATTCCTGACACTCAGCGGGAGCCGCCGTGGCCACACGGCCGGTGCGGAGTGGTGGGGCTTTGGTAGAGAAGGAGGGAGGGAGGGGGGAGGGAGGGGGGAGGGAGGGGGTGATGGAGGGAGAGGGGGGGAGGTGGGAGATTGGGGGGGGATGGAGGGAGGGGGGGGATGGAGGGAGGGGGGGGGGATGGAGGGAGGGGGAAAGTGGGGGGGAGAGGGGGGGATGAGAGGGGGATGGAGGGAGGGGGGGATGGAGGGAGGGAGGGGGAAGGTGGGAGGGGGAGGGGGGGGATGGAGGGAGATTGGGGGATGGATGGAGGGAGGGGCCCCTGCCCCCCCCCCCCTCCCGCTGTCTGTGGCACTCTGCGTCATCTCCACGCGGGCGACCCGCGGAGCGAGGGGGCACCAGGCCGGAACGTCGTCCCGATTGCGCAATCATCTCTCGGGCTCGCGGCTGTCACGTCGAGTTTGTGGATAGCGAGCGGGGGGTGGGGGCTGGGGGTGGGGGCTGGGGGCTGGGGGGTGGGATGGGTGGAGGTAGTGAGTGGTGAATGCTAAAAATTGGTGGTGGTGGGTGGTGAACGGTGAGTTGGGTGGTGGTGGGTGGGTTGTGGGTGGTGGTGGTGGGTGGTGGGTGGTGAGATGGGTGGTGAGATGGGTGGTGGGTGGTGGTGAGATGGGTGATGGTGAGATGGGTGGTGGTGGTGAGATGGGTGGTGAGATGGGTGGTGGGTGGTGGTGAGATGGGTGATGGTGAGATGGGTGGTGGTGGTGAGATGGGTGGTGGGTGGTGAGATGGGTGATGGTGAGATGGGTGGTGGTGGGTGGTGGTGAGATGGGTGGTGAGTTGGGCGGTGGTGAGTTGAGTGGTGGTGAGATGGTTGATGGTGGGTGTTAACGATAATCACCATCATCACCACCACCACCATCACCACCATCATCATTACCAGCATCACTATCATCATTATCACCACCATATTCACCATCACCATCATCATCACCACCATCACCATCATCACTATCATTATCACCATCATCACCATCTATCATCACTATCATCACCATCACCACCACCATCATCATCATTATTACCATCATTATCATTATCACCATCATCATCACCACCATCATCACCACCATCATCATCACCATCATCACCATCATCACTATCATTATCACCCTCTCATCATCATCATCATCACCACCCTATCATCACCATCATCACCATCTATGATCCCTATCATCATGACCATCATCACCATCTCATCATCATCACCATCATCATCACCATCATCATGACCATCATCACCATCTCATCATCATCACCCTATCATCACCATCATCACCACCACCATCATCATCATCACCCTCTCATCATCACCCTATCATCACCATCATCACCACCACCACCATCATCACCACCACCACCACCATCATCACCATCATCATCACCACCACCACCATCATCACCATCATCACCATCATCACCACCACTATCACTACCATCACCTGGCAGGAGTTCATAGATGTCCTCATCGATTGGATCCACGGCCACCTCCTTGTGCACCGCGGTTGCTGGCGGCGTGGCCTTGACCTGCTCTATCGGATCGATGTCATCGTAGAGGTCTCCACCATCCTCATCCTCGTCCTCCTCTTCCTCGATCACAGAGGAGCGCAAGTCTAAGCCACAACAACAACAACAGCTACATCAACAACAACAACCACAACAACAGCTACATCAACGACAACAGCTACAACAACTGCCAAAACAACACTAGCCACAACAACCACCGCCACAATAACAATCACAACAACAGCAACCACAACAACAACAGCCACAAGAACAACAGCCACAACAACAACAACAATCACAACAACACTAGCCACAACAACAACCACCGCCACAACAACAATCACAACAACAGCCACAGGAACAACAGCCACAACAACAACAACAGCCACAACCACCACAACAACAACAACAACAAACCGCACGTACCCCGGATGACTTGCCGGATGTAACTCATCCACGAGCGGGCATCGTCGGCGGTGGAGGTGGAAAACTGAAACGAGGTGGACGTTTCGTTACCAACAACAGCAACAACAACGCAGTTAGTCTAGAGTCACACACTGAGCTGGTGAGCTGCTGAGCTGGTGAGCTGGTGAGTTGGTGAGTTGTTGAGCTGGTGAGCTGGTGAGTTGTTGAGCTGGTGAGCTGGTGAGTTGGTGAGTTGGTGAGCTGCTGAGCTGGTGAGCTGGTGAGTTGGTGAGTTGTTGAGCTGGTGAGCTGGTGAGCTGGTGAGTTGGTGAGTTGTTAAGCTGCTGAGCTGGTGAGCTGGTGAGCTGGTGAGCTGGTGAGCTGGTGAGTTGTTGAGCTGGTGAGCTGGTGAGCTGGTGAGTTGGTGAGTTGTTAAGCTGGTGAGCTGGTGAGTTGGTGAGTTGTTGAGCTGGTGAGCTGGTGAGCTGGTGAGCTGGTGAGTTGTTAATCTGGTGAGCTGGTGAGTTGGTGAGTTGTTGAGCTGATGAGCTGGTGAGCTGGTGAGTTGGTGAGTTGTTGAGCTGGTGAGCTGGTGAGCTGGTGAGTTGGTGAGTTGTTGAGCTGGTGAGCTGCTGAGCTGCTGAGTTGGTGAGTTGTTGAGCTGGTGAGCTGGTGAGCTGGTGAGTTGGTGAGTTGTTAAGCTGCTGAGCTGGTGAGCTGGTGAGCTGGTGAGTTGATGAGCTGCTGAGCTGGTGAGCTGGTGAGTTGTTGAACCGGTGAGTTGTTGAGCTGGTGAGCTGGTGAGGTGCTGAGCTGGAGAGCTGGTGAGCTGGTGAGCTGCTGAGCTGGTGAGCTGGTGAGTTGTTGAGCTGGTGAGCTGCTGAGCTGGTGAGCTGCTGAGCTGGTGAGCTGGTGAGCTGGTGAGTTGTTGAGTTGGTGAGTTGGTGAGTTGGTGAGCTGGTGAGTTGGTGAGCTGGTGAGCTGGTGAGCTGGTGAGTTGTTGAGTTGGTGAGTTGGTGAGCTGGTGAGCTGGTGAGCTGGTGAGGTGCTGAGCTGGTGAGCTGCTGAGCTGGTGAGCTGGTGAGTTGGTGAGCTGGTGAGCTGCTGAGCTGGTGAGTTGGTGAGCTGGTGAGTTGGTGAGTTGGTGAGTTGGTGAGTTAGTGAGCTGGTGAGCTGGTGAGGTGCTGAGCTGGTGAGCTGGTGAGCTGGTGAGTTGGTGAGTTGGTGAGCTGGTGAGTTGGTGAGTTGGTGAGCTGGTGAGCTGGTGAGTTGGTGAGTTGGTGAGCGGGTGAGCTGGTGAGCTGGTGAGCTGGTGAGCTGCTGAGCTGGTGAGCTGGTGAGCTGGTGAGTTGTTGAGTTGGTGAGTTGGTGAGTTGTTGAGCTGGTGAGCTGGTGAGCTGGTGAGCTGGTGAGTTGGTGAGTTGGTGAGCTGGTGAGCTGTTGAGTTGGTGAGTTGTTGAGCTGGTGAGCTGGTGAGCTGGAGAGTTGGTGAGTTGTTGAGCTGGTGAGCTGGTGAGTTGGTGAGCTGGTGAGCGGGTGAGCTGTTGAGTTGGTGAGTTGGTGAGCTGGTGAGTTGGTGAGCTGGTGAGCTGGTGAGCTGGTGAGGTGCTGAGCTGGTGAGCTGGTGAGCTGGTGAGTTGGTGAGCTGGTGAGTTGGTGAGCTGGTGAGCTGGTGAGCTCACCACAGCTCACCACAGCTCACCACAGCTCAGCACAGCTGGGGAGGGTGTCACGGGTCTGAGTGGCACCTGGAAGCTGCGCTTGTCCGGAGCCGAGAGCTCGAAGCTGCAGCAGCTCTTCCTGTCCTTGCGGGTCGCCTCGGCGGGGCGCAGCGAGTAGCCGGCCAGAGGCACCGCTCCTTTCTGCTGCTTGTCTGTGAGGCGCAGGGGCAGCGTGGGCAGCGTCGTCGTCGTCGTCATCGTTGTCGTCATCATTGTCGTCGTCATCATCGTCGTCATCGTCATCATCGTCGTCATCGTCATCATCATCATCGTCACCATCGTCGTCATCGTCATCATCGTCGTCGTCGTCATCATCGTCGTCGTCGTCATCATCGTCACCATCGTCGTCATCGTCATCATCGTCGTCATCATCGTCATCATCGTCGTCATCATCGTCGTCGTCGTCATCATCGTCGTCGTCGTCATCATCGTCGTCATCATCGTCGTCGTCGTCACCATCGTCGTCATCGTCATCATCGTCGTCATCGTCATCATCATCATCGTCACCATCGTCGTCGTCGTCATCATCGTCGTCGTCGTCATCATCGTCGTCGTTGTCGTCGTCGTCGTCATCATCATCGTCATCATCATCATCATCGTCATTATAATCGTCATCGTTGTCGTCGTCATCGTCATCATCGTCGTCATCGTTGTCGTCATCATCGTCGTCATCGTCGTCGTCATCGTCATCATCATCATCATCATCGTCGTCATCGTTGTCGTCATCATCGTCGTCATCGTCATCATCGTCGTCATCGTTGTCGTCATCATCATCGTCATCATCGTCGTCATCGTCGTCGTCATCGGCATCATCATCGTCATCATCGTCGTCGTCATAGTCATTGTTACCATCATCGTCGTCACCATTGTCGTCGTCGTCGTCATCATCATAGTAGTAGTAGTGGTAGTAGTAGCGGTATAAGTAGTAGTAGCGGTAGTAGTAGTAGTGGTAGTAGTAGCGGTATAAGTAGTAGTAGCGGTAGTAGTATTAGTAGTAGTAGCGGTATAAGTAGTAGTAGCGGTAGTAGTAGTAGTGGTAGTAGTAGCGGTATAAGTAGTAGTAGCGGTAGTAGTAGTAGTAGTAGCGGTATAAGTAGTAGTAGCGGTAGTAGTAGTAGTAGTAGCGGTATAAGTAGTAGTAGCGGTAGTAGTATTAGTAGTAGTAGTAGCGGTATAAGTAGTAGTAGCGGTAGTAGTAGTAGTGGTAGTAGTAGCGGTATAAGTAGTAGTAGCGGTAGTAGTAGTAGTAGTAGCGGTATAAGTAGTAGTAGCGGTAGTAGTAGTAGTAGTAGCGGTATAAGTAGTAGTAGCGGTAGTAGTATTAGTAGTAGTAGTAGCGGTATAAGTAGTAGTAGCGGTAGTAGTAGTAGTGGTAGTAGTAGCGGTATAAGTAGTAGTAGTGGTAGTAGTAGTAGTGTTAGTAGTAGCGGTATAAGTAGTAGTAGCGGTAGTAGTATTAGTAGTAGTAGTAGCGGTATAAGTAGTAGTAGCGGTAGTAGTATTAGTAGTAGTAGTAGCGGTATAAGTAGTAGTAGCGGTAGTAGTAGTAGTGGTAGTAGTAGCGGTATAAGTAGTAGTAGCGGTAGTAGTAGTAGTGGTAGTAGTAGCGGTATAAGTAGTAGTAGCGGTAGTAGTATTAGTAGTAGTAGTAGCGGTATAAGTAGTAGTAGCGGTAGTAGTAGTAGTGGTAGTAGTAGCGGTATAAGTAGTAGTAGTGGTAGTAGTAGTAGTGTTAGTAGTAGCGGTATAAGTAGTAGTAGCGGTAGTAGTATTAGTAGTAGTAGTAGCGGTATAAGTAGTAGTAGCGGTAGTAGTATTAGTAGTAGTAGTAGCGGTATAAGTAGTAGTAGCGGTAGTAGTAGTAGTGGTAGTAGTAGCGGTATAAGTAGTAGTAGCGGTAGTAGTATTAGTAGTAGTAGTAGCGGTATAATTAGTAGTAGCGGTAGTAGTATTAGTAGTAGTAGTAGCGGTATAAGTAGTAGTAGCGGTAGTAGTAGTAGTAGCGGTATAAGTAGTAGTAGCTGTAGTAGTATTAGTGGTAGTAGTAGCGGTATAAGTAGTAGTAGCGGTAGTAGTATTAGTAGTAGTAGTAGCGGTATAAGTAGTAGTAGCGGTAGTAGTAGTAGTGGTAGTAGTAGCGGTATAAGTAGTAGTAGCGGTAGTAGTATTAGTAGTACCACTACTACTAGTAGTAGTATAATGACGACGGCGATGGTTACCATGACCACTACTACTAGTAGTAGTAGTGGTGGTACTACTACCAGTATTAGTACTACCTTTGCGGTCTCCGTAGTAGTAGAGGGCGTTGGAGCTGAGCACGCACCACCGCCTCTGCCACTCGCCCACGAAGAAACTGTGGTCTGTCCACACACCACAACGACATGGTTACCATGACGACGACGATGGTTACCATGACGACGATGGTTACCATGACGATGATGGTGATGATGACGAGGAGGATGGTTACCATGACGATAATGACGACGGCGATGGTTACCATGACGATAATGACGACGATGATGGTGATGATGACGACGAGGATGGTTACCTTGACGATAATGACGACGACGATGAAGGTGTTGATGATGACGATGGTTACCATGACGATAATGACGACGATGATGGTGATAATGACGACGAGGATGGTTACCTTGACGATAATGACGACGACGATGAAGGTGTTGATGATGACGATGGTTACCATGACGATAATGACGACGATGATGGTGATGATGACGACGAGGATGGTTACCTTGACGATAATGACGACGACGATGAAGGTGTTGATGATGACGATGGTTACCATGACGATAATGACGACGATGATGGTGATGATGACGACGAGGATGGTTACCTTGACGATAATGACGACGACGATGAAGGTGTTGATGATGACGATGGTTGCCATGACGATAATGACGACGACGATGATGGTGATGATGACGACGATGGTTACCATGACGATAATAACGACGACGATGAAGGTGATGACAACGACGATGGTTACCATGACGATAATGACGACGACGATGAAGGTGATGACAACGACGATGGTTACCATGACGACGACGATGGTTACCATGACGATAACGACGACGACGACGGTGATGACGTCGACGATGGTTACCCTGACGATAACGACGACTACGATGACGATGATGATCATATCGATGACTATGATGATAACGACGATGATTAGAATGATTGTGATGATGGCAACGAAGGCGATCATGACCCAGGTGACTGCCGTGATGATGATGATGATGATCGAGGCAATGATCGATCCTCACCCTTCCTGATGATGGCAACGAAGGCGATCATGACCCAGGTGACCGGCCGTGATGATGATGATGATGATGATCGAGGCGATGATCGATCCTCACCCTTCCTCTTCTTATCCAAGAACCCGGCCTTGATGACGTTGGGCAAGTCCGAAGCAGCAATGGCCGGCAGCTGCGCGTAGACTGTGGGTCACACACAAAGACAAAGCCAAAGGTCCCCCGTGTAGCCTGCACAGACTATTGGGGCAAGTGCACCTATGAAGGCCACAATCATCACCAATATCACCAACATCAACACCAACATCACCAATATCACCACCAATATCACCACCATCAACACCATCATCACCACCATCACCACCACGCGAGAGGGTCGGTGGCCAGCAACCACGCCCGGCCGCCTTTGTCTCCCCAGTGGCGATGTTTACTACACACCGCGCCAGGTACTCATTTCAGGCTGAGTTGACCGAGGGGAGGCCCACGACCGGTTCAGATAAACGCCTGCTGCTGTATATTTGAAGTTTGCGTGTCTCTCTCTAGAGACACACAGAGACCTAAAGAGACACACAGAGACCCATAGAGGTACACAGAGACCCATAACAGAGACCCATAGAGACACACAGATACCCATAGAGACACACAAAGACCCATAACAAAGACCCATAGAGAGACACAGAGACCCATTGAGACACACAGAGACCCATAGAGACACACATAGACCCATAGAGACACACATAGACCCACAAACTCATACAGAGACCCATAGACTCACACAGAGACCCATAGACTCACACAGAGACCCATAGAGACACACAGAGACCCATAGAGACACACAGAGACCCATAGAGACACACAGAGACTCATAGACTCACACAGAGACCCATAGACTCACACAGAGACCCATAGAGACACACAGAGACCCATAGACTCACACAGAGACCCATAGAGACACACAAAGACCCATAGAGACACACAGAGACCCATAGAGACACACAGATACTCATAGACTCACACAGAGACCCATAGACTCACATAGAGACCCATAGACTCACACAGAGACCCATAGACTTACACAGAGACCCATAGAGACACACAGAGACCCATAGAGACACACAGAGACTCATAGACTCACACAGAGACCCATAGAGACACACAGAGACCCATAGAGACACACAGAGACCCATAGAGACACACAGATACTCATAGACTCACACAGAGACCCATAGACTCACACAGAGACCCATAGACTCACACAGAGACCCATAGAGACACACAGAGACCCATAAAGACACACAGAGACCCATAGACTCACACAGAGACCCATAGACTCACACAGAGACCCATAGACTCACACAGAGACCCATAGAGACACACAGAGACTAATAGAGGTACGCACTGACAGCCGGGAGACGTCCAGCCCACGTGACCGACCCCCCCCCCCCCCCCCCCACTGGCAGGGAAGCATCCGAGGCGGTAACGATCTGGGCAATGTGATTAGGGGGTCTCAAAATAGATCTCCGCTTTATCATTTGTTAGGCATGGAGGGTGGGGTGCTGTGGGATGGGAGATGATGATGATGACGACGGTGATGGTGAGTCAAGGTCGAAAGGTCACTGTCGACAATTCCGTTGATGCCACCCTCCCCTTGCCATCGCTTCGTTCCTTCTGCCAAATCTTGTGGTCGTTGGGAAGTCGACACGCGCATCGCAAGGCCCGCTAATCACAGTCGCACCGCCAACATCAACACCATCATCACCGCCAACATCACCATCACCACCAACATCAACACCATCACCACCAACATCACCACTATCATTACCACCATCATCACCAATATCACCAACATCAACACCAACATCACCAATATCAACACCAATATCACCACCATCAACACCATCATCACCACCAACATCACCAACATCACCACCATCACCACCATCACCACCAACTTCACCACCATCATCACCAACATCACCACCACCAACATCACCATCATCACCACCAACATCACCATCATCACCATCATCACCACCATCACCACCAACTTCACCATCACCTCCAACATCACCACCACCAACATCACCATCACCACCAACATCATCATCACCACCACCACCAACATCACCATCACAACCACCACCAACATCATCGCTATCATCACCACCAACATCACCACCACCATCACCACCATCATCACCACCATCACCACCATCACCACCAACATCACCACCACCATCACCACCACCATCACCACCAACACCACCACCAACATCACCACCAACATCACCACCATCACCACCAACATCACCACCAACATCACCACCATCACCACCAACATCACCACCATCACCACCAATATCACCACCATCACCACCATCATCACCAATATCACCACCATCACCACCAACATCACCACCGTCACCACCATCATCACCACCATCACCACCAACATCACCACCATCACCACCAACATCACCACCACCATCACCACCAACATCACCACCACCACCCCCACCAACATCACCACCAACATCACCTGGCAAGGTCACGTGACAGGACAGGGTAAGGATGTGGGCCAATGGTGACAGAAGGGACACGTGATGTCAGTCCCAGAGTCTTCTAGGGGGTTCTAGGAGGGGGCGTTGCCGAGAGAGAAAGCATGTGAGGACGTAGCAGCCCAATTGGCTGGCAAGGTCACGTGACAGGGCAGGGTAAGGATGTGGGCCAATGGGGACAGAAGGGACACGTGATGTGAGTCCCAGAGTTTTCTAGAGAGTTCTAGAAGGGGGCGTGGCCGAGGAAGGAGCCGGGCAACGGTGAGGGGCATAAAAGGGAGGTCCCGAGGTCTGATCCGGGCTGTCTACTGTAATGGAACCGGACATGCGACGTCTCCGCGGACTTCACGCTCGCCATCGTGGGTCAGGCAGTGCGCTAACTGACCTGACCCGGTTACGTAGTTACCCCGTGGTGGTTACCGCTATGTAGTTATCCCGTTGGTTACCCCGTTGTGGTCCTAGAATAAACGTGTTGCCACCAAAGTCAATGGTGTCTGTCACGTGAACCCACTACACTAGTACAGCAAATTTGAGTACTCAGATTGTAAATGTTGTGGGTTTTCATTCAGACGCTGTCTTTCTGACAGACCTGTTCTTCGCCCGAGGACGGCTGCTTGCGTTGTGGCCGAAAGGTCGTGAGAATTATTTTATTATGTTTTATTTTTATTATTTTATTATTTCCCTTCTACGTGACTTTAGCGAAAGCACCAAGAAGATTAATCCCTGCAGTCACGAAAGCTTTAAATCGAAATTTTATAGTGTTTTATTTTTATTATTTTATTATTTCCCTTCTACGTGACTTTAGCGAAAGAACCAAGAAGATGAATCCCTGCAGTCACGAAAGCTTTAAATCGAAATTTAATTATATTTTATTATGTTTTATTTTTATTATTTTATTATTTCCCTTCTACGTGACTTTACCGAAAGAACCAAGAAGATGATTATAAATGTCGTGGATTTTACTCTCCAACACTCAACCGATTAGTGCTGTACTCGTGACGAATTGGCCACGTTCTGTTTACGTTACAACCCTCATCAATTGGCTGTGTCGGGTGGTGGTGGCGGATTTAACAACAACATTTATATTTACACCATCTAACCCCCCCACCCCACCGCTTATTAAAGGGTATTCTGTTAAGCTAAGACGGGCATATTTACACTGGCATCTGTGGTGTTTATTCCGCTGTGCGTACACACACACAGAGACGCTGGCGTGAGCTTGATCAACGGGGGATTTTGCAGAAGTCAATTAGCGATTATGCTTAACGATCGCAGTTACGGCTTAATGAGTTCCCCATTGTACAAACAACGCGTACGAATTTAAACGTCTGCAGCCGCGATGATTTCATTGCGCGCAGACACACGCACGCACACGCCACCGTGTGTCAGCGTGCATGCGACACAAAAGATAAAGGTCCCCCCCAAAGTGTAGCCTCTCACAGACTCATCTTATTGGTTCTTTCGGTAAAGTCACGTAGAATGGAAGTAATAAAATAATAAAACATAATAAAATAATTCTCACCACGTTTCGGCCACAACGCAAGCAGCCGTCCTCAGGTGAAGAACAGGTCTGTCGGAAAGACAGCGTCTGAATGTCTTCCCGACAGACCTGTTCTTCACCTGAGGACGGCTGCTTGTGTTGTGGCCGAAACGTCGTGAGAATTGTTTAATTAAATTTTTATTATTTTATTACTTCCCTTCTACGTGACTTTACCGAAGGAACCAAGAAGATGAATCCCTGCAGTCACGAGAGCTTTAAATCGAAACTCTAACAGACTGTTGGGGCAAGTGCTGTTAGCGAGTAGCTTACCTACGAAGGCACACGACGTATTGGGGGGGGAGGGTGGCAAGCAGCCACGCCCGGCCGCCTTTGTCTCCCCAGTAGCGATATTTACAGACCGCACCAGGTACCCATTTGAGGCTGAGTCGAGTTAGGGGAGGCCCAGGGACCGGTTAAGATAATCGTCAATGGTGTGGGCTTGGAGCGGGAATCGAACTCGGATCACCGGATTTGTAGCGGTTAGCGCGCTGCGCTACGAACCTGGCGACCCGGGTTCGATTCCCGCTCACGGCAAACACCAGTGACGATTATCTGAACCGGTTCTGGGCCTCCCTTAGGTCGACTCAGCCTCAAATGAGTACCTGGTGCGGTGTGTAAACATCGCCACTGGGGAGACAAAGGCGGTCGGGCGTGGTGCTGGCCCACCCACCCCCTCGTGAACCGTTCCGGCCTTCATAGGTGCTCGCTAACAGCACTTGCCCCTACAGTCTGTGAAGGCTATACGGGGGATCTTTGTCTTTGGTGTAACCCACATGTCACCCCACCACAGCCGGTCCAGCCGGGTTAACCTTCTGACCCCGTGGCCTCTATTGGACATCAGTTAAAAAACAACAACAACCCAAGCGCTTCCCAGCTCATCGGATTTCTCCTCCTGCCGTATATCAATTCAACGCTCTCAATTCGTTTCCACCGAAATTCTGGACGCGTCCGCCGGGCGGCGCTGCCACCACGCAGACCCTTGACCGAGACACTTGAAGTACAAACACAGACGTTAATTTCAACCGTGATGAGGGTTAGAAACTGAGTAATCATTGGAAAGATGTGATTAACCATGCAAAAAAGATGTAACTACACTTATTTGGACCATCTTATTTGACAGACAACTATTACAGGTTATTGATAGACAGCCAGTTTGTTGTTTTACCAGTTTTAGTTTTTACTTGCTTTCTTTTTTCACACTTTTGTTATGTATGCTAGGTGTTAGTTACAAACCGCACCTCTCTCCATAACAAAGGCTCAGTCCTTTGTTATGCAGTCTACTCTTGGTCTTAAGCCTCACCTTACCATATTAATAAATAAGTATAACCCGTAAAAACAAAGTTTTTCACTATAAATCCTTTATATGCGTGGCGGCTAGAGTCCTCTCGTCCTCTGGCTTGAGATGGCTGCCACCTATGGGTCAGATGATTGTCTGCCAGTATTAAGCAATTGGTAATTAAATATTTAATTTGTTTTCCCTAAACAGTGTAAAATTTTGGAAATTCTTTTTCACGAACATTAATTGTCTCGCACAACGAGTTTGTGTGCAAAATGTCAGTTCGATTGGATCACGGGAAGTGGGTTAAAAAACGACCGAAAGATTTGCACGGTCGTAAGCAAGCAAGCAAGCGAACTTAATATAAAGGATTTAAAAAGTGTGCGGTTCCTGGCCCTTCCCCCCCTCAACCATTATATATACGGGGTGGTATTTCTTGTGATCTCTCATTTACTTGATACAGCTGTCGTGGCTGTGACGGTTCCACCTGAAGACGCAGGCTTGTGTTGCCTCCGAAACGTCGTGACTTTTTTAATTTGTTTTATTTTACTTTTAATCATTTAAAATTGTTACCTACGTGACTTTACCGAAAAACCTAAGAATATCACTTCTTGAAGCTTTGGCATTGGCAGCCACTCTTAATTTTGGAGCTTTCGTGACTGCAGGAATTATTCTTTGGTTCTTTCTCCGTGTGTCCTTGTGATGTATATCTGCTTGTATGTCTGTCTATAGTTTTCTAGTTAGATTTTTGTTGCTATTTCTTTTATGCCTGACGATGATTGCTTGTGTTGCAATCGAAACGTCGTAATATGCTATTATTTAATGTATTACTTTATCTTTAGACGTGACTTAACCGAAAGAAACAAAGAATAATTGGCAGCCTCGTTGCTAACACCCCCCCCCCCCCCACGGACGATCCTAGTAGCACAAGTAGCTACATATGTAGCTACGGGCCCCCCACTTTCAAGGGCCCCCCACTTTCAAGGGCGCTCCAAACGCTTTCAAGCTATCAATTCCGGTTCAGTGATTCTGTACTTGCTCTGTTACTATAGTACTATACCGCCTTTGACTTTTATGAACGACCGGGTGTTTAAGGTTAGCGGTTTGTCGTGTGTTCGTGTGTTGTTCGTGTGTTGTTCGTGTGTGTGTGTGCCTGAGTGTGTGTGTCTGAGTGTGTGTGTCTCGGTGTGTGTGTCTCAGTGTGTGTGTCTGAGTGTGTGTATTACGGTGTGTGTGTGGGTGTGTGTCTTTGTGCCTGTGTGTGTGTGTCTAGGTGTATGTGTGTGCCTGTGTGTGTGTGTGCCTGTGTGTGTACCTGTGTGCGTGTCTTTGCGCGTGTGTGTCTAGGTGTATGTGTGTGCCTGTGTGTGTGCCTGTGTGTGTATGTGCCTGTGTGCGTGTCTTTGCGCGTGTGTGTGTCAGAAGAGGAGTTGGAGACGCTGCTGCTGAGACTGGAGCGTGCCACTAAGAGGTGGGGCCTTACCATCAGCCCCACCAAAACTAAGCACCTGCCTGGGTATTTTGTACCATCGGACACTCCACCCCCACAACTCCCAATTAGTGATGGGGCAGTTGTGGAAAGAGTGGAGAGTTTCCCATACCTGGGCAGTGTGCTTATGACCGGCTCCAGTTTATCAGCAGAGGTCTCACTCCGAATCAGTCGAGCGGCAATATCTTTTCATCGGTTGCGTATCGCTGTGTGGAAGCTACCTGGTCTGTCGCTCCGCACGAAGCTTCAGGTCTTCTCGGCCACGGTCATTCCCTCCCTTCTCTACGCTTGCGAAACGTGGACCCCCCTAGTGGAGCATCTTCGCCGGTTGGAAACATTTAGGCTGGCCTGCCTACGATCCATCCTGGGTTTAACCAGGCTGGATTGTGTGAGGAGCTCACAAATCCTTGAAAGATCTGGACAAAGTCCCATCAGTGAGCTCCTCCGGCAGGCAAGGCTGCGTTGGCTGGGTCATGTAGCCCGCATGCCCAGCCACCGCATGCCTAAACAGCTTTTGTTCGGCCGGATCGAGGGGGCTAGACGGGCGCGGCACGGGCTAGAGAAGAGATGGAGTGATGTGGTACAGGAGGACGTGGAGCTGAGTGGACTTGCCGATGACTGGTACCAGCGGTGTCAAGATCGGCCTCAGTGGAGGAGGCTCGTGAAGGACGCTACTGGGCAGTTGGAAGCAGTCGCCCTCCAACAACAACGGAGGGCGGAGGAGCGACGCTCACAACAACGAGCGGAGCGCCGGGTGGCTAAAGCACAGCAAGTTGGTACAGTAGGGGGCACAGGTGGTGCATCAGCCAGTCATCTCGGTCATCTCGGTCAGTCGACCCGTGGCACCTGGGTCTGCCCTGTGACCTCCTGCCAGCGGGCGTTCGACACTTCACGTGGCCTCAAGGTGCACTTGGCCTGGCACAAGCATCGTGGTGACGTCACCGCCACTTAGTGGCGAATGGCGGTTGTTGTTGTTGTTGTTGTTGTGTGTCTGTGTGTGTTCGATTCCTGCTGTCTGTCGAGACTATACGGGGCATCTTTGCCTCTGTTGGTGAAGTGAGCGAGCGAGCGAGTGAGTGTAGGTGGAGAAGCTGAGTGTGTTACTTGCTGGAGGCTACGCGTGGGTCTTGCGTTCCGTGACCGTGGCCAGAAGAAGTTGTGTGGGAAGTTTTCGTGGCATGCACCGGTAACATTCCTACCGTTCCTAGAATCGGACTCCCTCGAGAGAGGATGTGGTCTTCATAACGACAACAACAACAACAATAATTGTTGTTGTTCACGCTGCACAGACTTTGTGTTTAGCCGTCGGGCATTACCAGGGTTTGCAAGAAGACTCGCTTGCACACACAAAGGCAACGATGCCCCGTGTAGCCTCAACAGACTGTTGGGGCAAGTGCAGTCAGCGAGTAGCACCCTACGACCACAATCACCACCATTATCACCACCACCACCATCCAAACCCTGACGATGCCTGCTGCTGTATATTTGTAGTTTGCGTGTTTCTCTCTCATCATCATCATCATCACGGTGGCTAGGAGATGTTAATTACCTCGCCTGGTATACAGGAGGTCGTGGGTTCGATCCCGACCTTGACGCCTGCTGCTGTATATTTGTAGTTTGAGTGTTTCTCTCTCATCATCATCATCACGGTGGCTAGGAGATGTTAACTACCTCGCCTGGTATACAAGAGGTCGTGGGTTCGATCCCGACCCTGACGATGCCTGCTGCTGTATATTTGTAGTTTGCGTGTTTCTCTCTCATCATCATCACGGTGGCTAGGAGATGTTAACTACCTCGCCTGGTATACAAGAGGTCGTGGGTTCGATCCCGACCCTGACGATGCCTGCTGCTGTATATTTGTAGTTTGCGTGTTTCTCTCTCATCATCATCATCATCACGGTGGCTAGGAGATGTTAACTACCTCGCCTGGTATACAGGAGGTCGTGGGTTCGATCCCGACCTTGACGATGCCTGCTGCTGTATATTTGTAGTTTGTGTGTTTCTCTCTCCCCGTGGTTTTGTGGTTTATTCCCCTGCCACGTTGCGAATGGACATCACCCCGCTTTAGAGTCATTTGGCTGCTATACAATCTCCACGTGGTCGACAGCTATCGTTTCATGCTAAGAAAAAAAAAATAAGAGCCGCATGGAAATTTGAGCGGGCCTTACCCCGGTAATTTCTTTTTTACAAAAGCAGAGTTGGTTAGTTAGTTAGTGAGTGGGTCGATGATTTTCGCTTACCTTCATGACCGGCGGCGTCTTCCTGCGCTGCTTCCGAGGGTTCGGAGGTGAGGTCCGTCTGGGACGTGGAGCTAACGTCGCTGCTCTGCCCGTTGCTCTCCTGATCGCATTCTGCCCGCGGAAGTGACGACAACAACAACAACAAACAACAACAACAAACAACATCATCAACAACATAAACAACATGAACAACAACATCAACAGCAACAACATCAACAATAACATCAGCAACATGAACAGCGACAACATCAACAACAACAAACAACATCATCAACAGCATCAACAAACAACAACAACAGTATCAACAACACCAACGAGCAACATCAACAAATACCATCAACAACTTCAGCAGCAACAACATAAACAACATGAACAATAACATCAGCAACATGAACAGCTACAACATCAACAACATCAACAACAACAAACAACAACAACAGCATCAACAAACAACAACAACAGTATCAACAACACCAACGAGCAACATCAACAAATAACATCAGCAACATGAACAGCGACAACATCAAGAACAACAAACAACAACAACATCAGCAACATGAACAGCTACAACATCAACAACAACAAACAACAACAACAACAAACAACATCATCAACAGCATCAACAAACAACATCATCAACAACAGCATCAACAACACCAACGAGCAACATCAACAAACAACATCAACAACATCAACAATAGCATCAGCAACATGAACAGCTACAACATCAACAACATCAACAACATCACCACCATCATCAGCAGCTCAGTAGTCAAGTTCTACATTAGCAATGCGAATTGCTACATCAATAACCAACATCAACAACCAACATCAACAACATCAACAACATCACCACCATCATCAACAGCTCAGAAGTCAAGTTCTACACTAGCAATGCGAATTGCTACATCAACAACCAACATCAACAACCAACATCAACAACATCAACAACATCACCATCATCACGAACAGCTCAAACGCCAACAACCACATTACCAATGTGAATTGCAACATAAATAAACAACATCAACAACAATGTCAACAATCATCAACATCAGCTCAAACGTCATCATCTACATTAGCAATGTGAATAACCACAACATCAACAACGACTAATAACACTGGTCAACAAAAAAATAATTTCTGGCCTGGACTTTTGCAGCTGTTCTAGACTAATTTCAGGGTGCTGATTCCAAATCTGATCTCAGATTGCTCTATCACATCTCATTTTTAGGCTATCGGCATACCCCGTTTTCATTGATTTTACCCGAAATTAACTCTGTCACTTATGATTGCAAGTTGTTGCGAGTCAGTGACTGCTTTAGTGTTAAAATATGGTGCTGCATTTAAAAAATAAAATAAAAAACATCCGTTTAATCGGAAAGCGTGTTCAGCCATGTTCAATTGTCACTGGTGCGTCTTTTGCCCCACTCTTATCATGCCCTCTGCTGTCTCTCTCCTAGCGCCTACCTTTTATACGACTTGCCCCAAACCTCGCTTCGTGTTGCGTCAGTGCTAAGTGCAAATGTGCAACGTCCTTTCGTCTTGCGGAGTTTGACGGCGCTTCCCTTTTTGTGCGCTGAACCGCAACGCATTTCGAAACACTGTGACCGCACGTGCGTTTGGGCGATGCGTTCGCGTTTCTTCCTCTTCACACCGTTATCATATTGTTGTTCCACCATTGGAACCTCATTTGCCAGTAAAAAAAAATGATAATTGTTTTTTTTTACCCTTTTATCTGGCAACAAAACTGACACCTTTTTTTTTTTTACGAGGAGTCATGTTTGCATAGACCACAATAGCTGCAGTCATAATGCAAACAAAAAACATAACTCTGATAATGTATGCACTGTCCTTGAGTTTGAGGTACCAATGGTGTAAATGCTTACCCCGAGCTCTCATACTCTGATGGTGCATTGTCTTTGAAGTTGTGCGCCTTTTGGCGTCATCTGGTCCAACACCATGTGAGACTAGGCTCTAAGAAAAGCTGTCTCGGGTGTGGACCAATCAACTTCAAGGACAGTGCATACATTATCAGAGTTGTGTTTTTTGTTTGCATTATGACTGCAGGTTTTGTGGTCTATGTAAACATGACTCCTTGTAAAAAAGGTGTCAGTTTTGTTGCCAGATAGAAGGGTAAAAAACCAATTATCATATTTTTTCTTCTGGCAAATGAGGTTTCAATGGTGTAAATGCTTGACCCGAGCTCTCATACTCTGATGGTGCGTTGTCTTTGAGTTGTGCGCCTTTTGGCGTCATCTGGTCCAACCCATGTGAGACTAGGCTCTAAGAAAAGCTGTCTCGGGTGTGGACCAATCAACTTCAAGGACAGTGCATACATTATCAGAGTTGTGTTTTTTGTTCCGACTTACGAACCCCTTAGACCTTCTCGGTTCTTTCGGTAAAGTCACGTAGAATGGAAATAATAAAATACAAAAAATAAAACATAATCAAATAATTCTCACGACGTTTCGGCCACAACGCAAGCAGCCGTCCTCAGGTGAAGAACAGGTCTGTCGGGAAGACAGCGTCTGAACCCCTTAGACTTACGAACGGGGCTCGGGAATGAATTGTGTTCGTAAGTCGATGACCACCCGTATGAATATATTTGTTTTTATTAAAGGCCACACACACACAGTGCGTCTTGTTATCATCAAGCAAGGTTTAGGGTTTGTTGTTGTTAATGAATTGTGTTAATTGTTAATAATTGTGTTAATAGTTATTAATTAGGTATTGCTAACTAATTGATGTCAATTAATTAAGTTATTGTTAATGCATCGATGCAAATTAATTGCTTATTAATTGTTGATTAATTGTTGTTAATCAATTAAGCAATTGCTAATTAATGAATTGTTAATTAATTGTGTTTGTGCACCACTGCCAAACGCAACGGCAGCAAAAAAACACTGTCGCGTTTGCATTTAAGCGTGAATAGCTGAGGCTTATTCGATTGCGTAGTCACACGAATGATGAACAATGAACACACGTCAGTATGATGGGCTCACCTTTTGCAAAAACATCTCGGTACCTGCAGTCAGACAGACGCACAGAACAGACAGACACACAGACAGACACACAGACAGACACACAGACAGACACGCAGGCAGACGGACACGCAGACAGACACACACGCAGACACACAGACAGACACGCAGACAGACAGACAGACACATACACAGGCAGACACGCACGCAGACACACACGCTGAGATGTTGTAACGAAATACAAACATTTGTAATAATCTTGATTTGAAGCTTTCGTGACCGCAGCAATCCCTACTTTTTGGTTTCTTTCGGTAAAGTCACGTGGGTATAAAATAAATCACGACGTTTCGGGCGCAACACAGAGCGGCTTAATCGCATCTAATTCATGTACCCACCCAGCAGTACAACAAAAGCAGTAATTGACCACTTCACAACTCCTCCTCCCCCGCTGCCCTTCCTGGCTCCTCCCCCCTTAACCACTATATAAGCTACAGATATTTTGCTGTGACGGTTTCACCTGAAGACGGAAGCTTGTGTTGCCTCCGAAACGTCGTGATTTTTATTGTTTTATTTTTTATTAATTTTAATTTCATTTTTTACCTACGTGACTTCACCGAAAGAACTAAGAGTACACAACACAAGCGGTCCGTCATCAGGTGGGAAAGCATTGTAGCCCAACCACGAGAAGGGGAGTTCAAGAGTCGAGGAGGAGAATGACGAGCCACGGAACGGAAGAAGGAAGGGGAGAGGCGAAGAGAGAAGAGGAGGAGGAGGGACGGGGAATTGGAGGAGGAGGAACGGAGGGACGGGAGTGGAGGGTGCAGCGGAGATGAGCAGAAGGAGGAAAAGGATGATGTGGCTGCATCAGGGCTTCAGGACTCTGCTGCTGCTGCACGTAGTGGCGTCTGTTTTCACGGTGGGCGGGGAAAGGGGAGGGGCTTAAAAGTGGCGGGGGTGGGCCACACACCGAGGTCACGTGGTTTACGGGAGGTTGCGTTAGATCGAGAGAGAGAGGGAGGCACACTATGAGACGTCTCCTTTACCAGCGGCAAAATATAGTAGTAGGTTTTTACCCTTTCAACTGGTACAAAACTGACACCTTTATACAAGGCATCATGTTTGCAATAACCACAACACAAGCAGTCAAATTGCAAACAAAAAGAAACAACTCTGATAATGATAATGATATGCACTGTCCTTGAAGTTGATTGGTCCACACCCGAGACAGCTTTTCTTAGAGCCCAGTCTCCATTGGTGTTGGACCAGATGACGCCAAAAGGCTTACAACTCAAAAACAGCGCACTATCAGAAAGAGCAGAAACCTATCACTATATTTTACCACTGGTAAAGGAGGTCTCATTGTGTCCACATGTTTTGTTGAAGCACCCTGTATAGATTCTAGATTTGAAGTTTTCGTGACTGCAAGGATTCATATTCTTAGGTTTTTCGGTAAAGTCACGTAGGTAAAAAAAAAAACCTGAAGACGGAAGCTTGTGTTGCCTCCGAAACGTCGTGATTTTTATTTTATTTTTATTAATTTTGATTTTTTACCTACGTGACTTTACCGAAAAACCTAAGAATATGAACCCTGTATAGAAATACACACATATCACATGCAGAGGCTGTAGGTGGGGAGGGGGTTATCTTTGTTTTCGTACCGGGACTTCAGCTCATTCAGAGTCTTGAGCAGCGCCTCCCTCCGCTCTTTGCATTTCTTCCCGAGCGATTTCTCCGACGCGAGTGCTTCCGACAGGAATTGCTCCAACTCTTGCCGGAGAGACACGTGACACCACCATCCATCATCAACACTCTCCGCATGTTCATCGATAAATACATTTTAAAAATAAGCATAACCAGTAAAAACAAAGTTTTTCACTATAAATCCTTTATATGCGTGGCGGCTAGAGTCCTCTCGTCCTCTGGCTTGAGATGGCTGCCACCTATGGGTCAGATGATTGTCTGCCAGTATTAAGCAATTGGTAATTAAATATTTAATTTGTTTTCCCTAAAAAGTGTAAAATTTTTGAAACAAAAATTTCACGAACATTAATTGTCTCGCACAACGAGTCTGTGTGCAAAATGTCAGCTCGATTGGATCACGGGAAGTGGGTTAAAAAACGACCGAAAGATTTGCACGGTCGTAAGCAAGCAAGCAAGCGAACTTAATATAAAGGATTTAATAAATATATTGAACATCCACGCCGCCCCCACCTGCAACACCAACACCACGACATTCGCCACGAAGTGACGGTGACGTCCCCACGGCGTCTGTGCCAGGCTAGGTGCACTTTGAGGCTACCACGTGAAGTGTCGAAGGCCTCGCTGACAGGAGGTCACGGGCAGACCCAGCAGGTGCCACGGGTTGGCCGAATGAGATGACCGGTAGATGCACCACCAGCTGTACCCCCTACTGTGCCAGGCTAGGTGCAGGAGGAGGTCACGGGACAGACCCTGCAGGTGCCATGGGTTGGCCGACTGAGATGACCGGTAGATGCACCACCAGCTGTACCCCCTACTGTGCCAGGCTAGGTGCACCGCCTGTGCCCCCTACTGTGTCAACTTGCTGTGCTTTAGCCACCCGGCGCTCCGCTCACACACACTCACACACACACACACTTACACATACACACACTTACACACACATACGTACAGACACAAACACACACTTACAGACACACACACACTTACACACACACACACTTACACATACACACACTTACACACACATACGTACAGACACAAATACATACTTACAGATACACACACACACTAACACACACACTTACAGACACACACACTTACACACACACACTTACACACACACACTTACACACACACACTTACACACACACACGCTTGCACACACACTTACAGACACACACACTTACTCACACACTTACACACACACGCTTACACACACTTACACACACACACTTACACACGCACTTACACACACACGCTTACACACAGACTTACAGACACACACACGCTTACACACACACACTGACAGACACACACTGATACACACACACTTACAGACACACACACTTACACACACACTTACACACACACGCTTACACACACACTTACACACACACACACTTACACACACACTACACACACACACTTACACACACACTTACACTGACACACACTTACACACACACTTACACACACGCTTACACACACACACTTACACACACACGCTTACACACACACGCTTACACACACACGCTTACACACACACACTTACACACACACACTTACACACACACTTACACACACACACTTACACACACACACTTACACACACACGCTTACACACACACTTACACACACACACTTACACACACACACTTACACACACACACTTACACGCACACACTTACACACACACACTTACACACACACACTTACACACACACACTTACACGCACACACTTACACACACACACTTACACACACACACTTACACACACACACTGACACACACACACTTACAATGATTGAGTCCATTCATTTCCTATTGCAAGGCGACTGAAAGTCACGTGGCTCGTTTGCTTAAAGCAGCGATGACCTTGATCTGCCCAACCGAGACAATTAGCCGCGTTAATGATCAACTCGTCATGATGGACGCGACGCGATCAAGAACGCCCTCATTGCCTCCGTCCCCCGCATCAATTCACGGCAATACGCAGCATACGCCGGACGTTCAGTCCAACGTTGGCATGGGACGTTGGATTAACGTTGGCAAAGAACGTTGGCCCAACGTTGGCATGGGACGTTGGCATGGAACGTTCGTAACAACGTTGGCATGGAACGTTGGATAAACGTTGGTATGGGACGTTGGCCCAACGTTGGCATGGGACGTTGGCATGGAACGTTGAACAAACGTTGGCGAACGTTGGCGTGGGACGTTCGTCCAACGTTGGCATGGAACGTTGGATAAACTTTGGAATGGGACGTTGGCATGGAACGTTGAACAAACGTTGGCGAAACGTTGGCGTGGGGCGTTCGTCCAAAGTTGGCATGGAACGTTCGTCCAACGTTGGCATGAAACGTTGAACAAACGTTGGAATGGGGCGTTGGATAAACGTTGGAATGGGACGTTGGATAAACGTTGGCATGGGACGTTCGTAACAACGTTGGCATGGAACGTTCGTAACAACGTTGGCATCGAACATTGGATAAACGTTGCAATGGAACGTTGAACAAACGTTGGAGCATCGTTGGCATGGAACGTCGGTCCAACGTTATGCTAACGTCGTGATGGAACGTTGATTCGACGTTGGCGCGACGTTCGCATGTTCTCTGGGTATGTGTTAGCCCCTTGGTAGAGGGAGACATCTGTGATTCGGCTCCGATTTGACTTTGCCCACGTCACCGATTGTTTCTCGATGTGGTCGTCCCACCTGATGGCGGACGCTTGTGTTGTGCCCGAAACGTCGTGATTTTATTTGTTTTATCTTCTACCCACGTGACTTTACCGAAAGAACCAAAGAGTATGGATCCCTGCAGTCACGAAAACACTTCAAATCTAGACTGATTTGGCTGTTGGGGTCAAGGTGGGTTCAAAGTCAAAGCGGATATTTGCTCACACGCCGTGGTGGCTAAGAGATGTTAACTACCTCGCCTGGTCTACAGGAGGTCGTGGGTTCGATCCCGACCCTGACGCCTGCTGCTGTATATTTGGAGTTTGCGTGTCTTTCTCTCTCATCATCACGGTGGCTAGGAGATGTTAACTACCTCGCCTGGTATACAGGAGGTCGTGGGTTCGAGCCTGACCCTGACGCCTGTTGCTGTATATTTGGAGTTTGCGTGTCTCTCTCTCTCATCATCACGGTGGCTAGGAGATGTTAACTACCTCGCCTGGTATACAGGAGGTCGTGGGTTCGATCCCGACCCTGACGCCTGCTGCTGTATATTTGGAGTTTGCGTGTCTCTCTCTCATCATCATCACGGTGGCTAGGAGATGTTAACTACCTCGCCTGGTATACAGGAGGTCGTGGGTTCGATCCCGACCCTGACGCCAGCTGCTGTATATTTAGAGTTTGCGGTGTCTCTCTCTCCTCGTGGTCGCGTGGAATTTTCCCCAGGTCCTCCGGGTTTTCCCCTCCACGTTTAGAATCAACGTCACGCGTGTTAGAGTGTTTGACTGCTATACATTTTCACGTGACGATGATGATGATGATAAACCAACTTCGTTGAGCTGTCTATCATCAGTGATCACCAGCTCGCTTCTGACATAGAGCTTACATATCAGCTCAGTGGGCCAGGGGAGACAAAGGCGGCCGTGCGTGGTTCTGGAACCCACCCCCCTCGTGGGTGCTCGCTAACAAGTTGCAGCACTTGCCCCAAGAGTCCGTTAAAGGCTATACGGGGGACCTTTGCCTTTGTATAATGGAACGCAGTTTAGCGCCCATCGCGATGAACCGGGCAAGTTTCTAATTTCCACCCACCGTGTGTGTTTTAACCCCTTATCGAACCTGTGCCGGAACTCCCCTAGGTCGACTCAGCCTCAAATCGAGTGCATTACCTTATACGGTGCGTAAAAATCTCAGCAATGGGGGGGGGGGGGGGGGGAGAGACCAAGGCGGCCCTACGTGTTTAACGACACATTTATATTACATGGTCTAACCCCCAATTCCCCCCAAAAAAGACCTATATTACTTGCCCCAACAGTTTGTGAAGGCTATACGGGGACCCTTTCTCTTTGTATATCTGTACCTGCAAATCACTTATTCTGGTTATTAACCATCGCTGTGTTTTTTCATGTTTACATGGCCGGAAACCGCATTAGGACGTTAAAAGAAATACCTAAGCAGTCACTGGTGTTCCGCACACAAAGATAAAAAAAACAAAGATCCCCCATATAGCCTTGACAGACTGTAGGGGCAAGTGCTGTTAGCGAGCACCTATGAAGGCCGGAACGGCACACAAGGGGGTGGGTGGCCAGCACCACGCCCGACCGCCTTTGTCTCCCTAGCGGCGATGTTTACACACCGCACCAGGTACTCATTTGAGGCTGAGTCGACCTAGGGGAGGCCCAGGACCGGTTCAGATAATCGTCACTGGTGTTGGCCGTGAGCAGGGAATCGAACTCGGGTTGCCGGGTTCATAGCGCAGCGTAGCGCTAACTGCTGCACCACCGCTCCCCATAATTTCGCACACACATTTTTCGATTTAAAGCTTTCGTGACTGCAGGGATTCATCTTCTTGGTTCTTTCGGTAAAGTCACGTAGAAGGGAAATAATAAAATAATAAAAATAAAACATAACAACGTCGTGAGAATTATTTTATTATGTTTCATTTGTATTATTTTATTACTTCCCTTCTACGTGACTTTACCGAAAGAACCAAGAAGATGAATCCGCACACACACACACAGACAAACATATAACACGCACACACAGTTCCGATGATAATAATAACAATGATGATGATCACAACATTAGACGGTCCGCACATTTGCAAGATGCCAACTGGAGTCGAATGAACCTGCGACCCCCATAGGCCACTAACGGGGGTGGTAGGGTGGACATTCCACATTATCATGACGGGTGCCCAATAGAATAGAAACCACTCATGTTGTCGACTGCAATTGAATGATGATGATGACGATGATGACGATGGTGGCAGCGCGTCGTGCATGGAACAAGCGAGTGGATTAAAGGCTGAGTCGACATAGGGGGAGTTCCTGCACGGGTTCAGAAAGTTTTAGTTTTTTTTCCACTGATGTTAACCCGTCGTTGGAAAGTGGTAAGCGGGCGCTAACCACTTTCCGTAATACAAAGGTCACCCGTATAGCCTTCAACAGACTCGTGGGGCAAGTGCTGTGCTTGTAAGCGAACACATCTGAAGGTGTTCGCACAAGGGGGTGGGTGGCCAGCACCACGCCCGGTCAACTTTGTCTTCCCAGCGGCGATGTCTACACACCGTACTAAGTATTTATTTGAGGCTGAGTCGACCTAGGAGATGCCCAGGACTGGTTCGCAGATAATCGTTACTGGTGTTGGCCGTGAGCGGGAATCGAACCCGGGTTCGCCAGGTTCATAGCGCAGGGCGCTAACCGCTACCCCACCGCTCCTAACACACCCACACACACTCACACACAGACACACACTCTCACACATCCACAGACACACATACACCCACACACACTCACACACAGACACACACACAGACACACACACTCTCACACATCCGCAGACACACATACAGACACACACACTCTCACACACGCACAGACACACACACATACACACACATCCACACACACTCTCACACAGTCTCACACTCACAGACCCCCACACATACTCACACACACCCACACACACTCACACACTCTCACACTTGTACACACACTCACACACACCCACACACACTCTCACATTTACACACACACTCTCACACTCACACACACTCTCACACACACCCACACACACTCACACACACCCACACACACTCTCACATTTACACACACACTCTCACACACAATCACACACACACATTATCACACACCCACACACACTCTCACACACCAACACACCCACACACACTCTCACACACTCACTCACACCCACACACCCACACACACTCTCACATTTACACACACACTATCACACACAATCACACACACACATTATCACACACCCACACACACTCTCACACACACACCCACACACACTCACACACCCACACACACTCTCACACACCCACACACATTCTCACACACCCACACACTCTCACACTTGTATACACACCCACACACACTCACACACACCCACACACACTCTCACACTTGTACGCACACCCACACACACTCTCACACACACTCACACACACCCACACACACTCTCACACACACACAATCTCGCACACTTACACCCACTCTCACACTTACACACACACTTACACCCACTTTCACACTTACACCCACTCTCACACTCACACCCACACCTACTCTCACACACACACACAATCTCGCACACCCACACCCACTCTCACACTTACACACACACTTACACCGACTATCACACTCACACCCCCACCTACTCTCACACACACACACATACAATCTCGCACACCCACACAGACTCTCACACACCCACACAGACTCTCACACACCCACACAGACTCTCACACACACACAATCTCGCACACCCACACCCACAGCACTCGCTCGCGCTCACTCCATGTTACCTTCCAACAGATTCTTCACGTCGTCAGGAATAGACGACATCGCTCCCGACTTGCCCGTACAGAGTAGCAGTGGAGAGAGACAGAGAGAGAAGGAGGAGGAGAGAGAGAGGGAAGCTGCAACGACTTAATCTCTTCCCACTCGAACGGCTCGAGAGGGGGCCACGGGGAGGAAGAGGGAGGGAGACGTTTGACCCCTCTCTCTATTTCTCTACACAGGGGAAGGAAGTGACGGTGCAAGGCTTGCGTTGACTTCTTGCTTCTTGGCGGCGCTGTCGTGAAGTTGAAGTGGGATGCGGTGTTTTTGTTTTTCGTGTCTTGGCTTTTTGCGCTTCGCTGAGAGACGTTGCACAAAACGTCGCCACGCTCGCTTAGAGCAGCGGCGGTAGGACACGGGTCGTGAATGGGCAGCCCCTACACACCCATCACCCCTGCAGAAAGGGGGCCGTTGCCCGAAACGTCAACCTTCATATATTTGTGTTTTATTTTTTTTCAAACGAAAAAAAAAGTTAAAAGCAAAAAGCGCTTTCCGGATTTCGACGTGAACGGGACTGCCGTGGGCTGGTGCCGTGACGCGAGCGAGTGGCAGCACCGTCCGCGTGAAGGTCAGGGGTCATTGTGGCACGCGAACGAGTGGCCTCTGTGGAGGAGGCTCGTGAAGGACGCTGCTACTGGGCAGTTGGAGGCAGTGGCCCTCCAACAACAACAACGGAGGGCGGAGGAGCGACGCTCACAACAACGAGCGGAGCGCCGGGTGGCTAAAGCACAGCAAGTTGGCACAGTAGGGGGCACAGGTGGAGCATCAGCCAGTCATCTCGGTCATCTCAGTCAGTCGACCTGTAGCACCTGCTGGGTGGGGAGGGGCTGGGTGGGGAGGGTGGGGAGGGCTGGGTGGGGAGGGTGGGGCTGGGTGGGGGGTGGGGAGGGTGGGGCTGGGTGGGGCTGGGGGGTGGGAGGGGTGGGGCTGGGTGGGAAGATGCTGGTCACCCCGTGGTGCCCTTATAAAACTCAACGTTTAACCTACTCACGCCGGCTTGTGCCCGCCCTCACAGTCGGGCATATTTGCGGAATACACCACGCCGCCGTTGACCCTGCAGGCCATTGACCGAGCAATCCAACGTTCCTACCAGCTCCCTCCGCAGGAATGTGTTAACTACCCTCGCCTGGTATACAGGAGGTCGTGGGTTCCATCCCAACCCTGACGCCTGCTGCTGCTGTATATTTGTAGTTTGCGGTGTCTCTCTCTCTCTCCCCGTGGTCGCGTGGATTTTTCACTGGATCCTCCGGTTTTCCCCTCCACATTGAGATACATACGCTTTAAGGAGTATACATATATATCTGCTATAAATATCCACGTGATCATGATGATGATGATGAGCCGCTTCGCTGATCGTTTGTGATGGTCCAGGGTCGCTTCTAAACAAAGAGCTCCACAGCTCACCTGCCAAAAAAAAAATTAGTTTAAAGTTTAGTTTTAGTTTAGACCGCGTGTTCCTCTGTGCTGTTTCTCAATGCAGACGGTCCCCGCTTTTACGACGTCCCGGTGGAAACTCCGTCGTAAATCGGACCGCAGTTTCCGTCAGAAAACAGTGGAACACATCACTTGTCGATCGCGTGGTTTTTTTTGTTCACCTTTTGTGGGGCATATCTTACAGTGTTCACGCTTCAGAAACAGGAATATACAAAAAACAAAGAGGCACGTGAGATGAAACACTGCCCATAGGCTCAACACTGCCGATAGACTCAGCACTGCCCATAGACTCAAAACTGCCCATAGACTCAACACTGCCCATAGACTCAACACTGCCCATAGACTCAACACTGCATCATAGACTCAAAACTGCCCATAGACTCAACACTGCCCATAGACTCAACACTGCATCATAGACTCAAAACTGCCCATAGACTCAACACTGCACCATAGACTCAACACTGCATCATAGACTCAACACTGCCCATAGACTCAGCACTGCCCATAGATTCAACACTGCCCATAGACACAACACTGCCCATAGATTCAACACTGCCCATAGACTCAACAGCGCCCATAGACTCACCACCACCTCGTCACCACAGACTCAACACTGCCCCATAGACTCATCACCGCCCATAGACTCAACACAGACCACAGACTCAACACTGCCCATAGACTCAGCACTGCCCATAGACTCAACACTGCCCATAGACTCAGCACTGCCCATAGACTCAACACTGCCCATAGACTCAACACTGCCCATAGACTCAGCACTGCCCATAGACTCAACACTGCCCATAGACTCATCACCGCCCACAGACTCAGCACTGCCCATAGACTCAACACTGCCCATAGACTAGACACTGCTCATAGACTCAACACTGCCCATAGGCTCAACACTGCCCATAGACTCAACACTGCCCCATAGACTCAACACAACACTGCACATAGACTCAACACTGCCCATAGACTCAACACTGCCCATAGACTCAACACTGCCCATAGACTCAACACTGCCCATAGACTCAGCACTGCCCATAGACTCAACACTGCCCACAGACTCAACACTGCTCATAGACTCATCACCGCCCACAGACTCAGCACTGCACCATAGACTCAACACTGCCCACAGACTCAGCACTGCACCATAGACTCAACACTGCCCACAGACTCAACACTGCCCATAGACTCAACACCGCCCATAGACTCAACACTGCCCCATAGACTCAACACTGCCCATAGACTCAACACTGCCCATAGACTCAACACTTCCCATAGACTCAACACTGCCCATAGAATAAACACTGCCCATAGGCTCAACACTGCCCATAGACTCAACACCGCCCATAAACTCAACACTGCCCCATAGACTCAACACTGCATCATAGACTCAACACTGCCCATAGACTCAACACTGCCCATAGACTCAACACTGCCCATAGACTCAACACTGCCCATAGACTCAACACTGCCCATAGACTCAACACTGCCCACAGACTCAACACTGCCCCATAGACTCAACACTGCCCACAGACTCAACACTGCCCATAGACTCAACACTGCCCATAGACTCAACACTGCCCATAGACTCAACACTGCCCATAGACTCATACTGCCCATAGACTCAGCACTGCCCATAGACTAACACTGCCCACAGACTCAACACTGCCCATAGACTCAACGCTGCCCATAGACTCACACTGCCCATAGACTAACACTGCCCATAGACTCACACTGCCCATAGACTCAGCACTGCCCATAGACTAACACTGCCCACAGACTCAACACTGCCCATAGACTCAGCACTGCACCATAGACTATGCACTGTCCATAGACTCAACACTGCCCACAGACTCAACACTGCCCATAGACTCAACACTGCCCATAGACTCAACACTGCCCATAGACTCAGCACTGCCCATAGACTCACACTGCCCATAGACTCAACACTGCTCATAGACTCAACACTGCCCATAGACTCAACACTGCCCAGAGACTCAGCACTGCTCATAGACTCAACACTACCCATAGACTCAACACTGTCCATAGACTCAGCACTGCCCATAGACTCAACACTAACCATAGACTCAACACTGCCCATAGACTCAACACTGCCCATAGACTCAACACTGCCCATAGACTCAACACTGCTCATAGACTCAACACTGCCCATAGACTCAACACTACCCATAGACTCAACACTGCCCATAGACTCAACACTGCCCATAGACTCAACACTACCCATAGACTCAACACTGCTCATAGACTCAACACTACCCATAGACTCAACACTGCCCATAGACTCAACACTGCCCATAGACTCAACACTGCTCATAGACTCAACACTGCCCATAGACTCAACACTACCCATAGACTCAACACTGCCCATAGACTCAACACTACCCATAGACTCAACACTGCCCATAGACTCAACACTGCTCATAGACTCAACACTGCCCATAGACTCAACACTACCCATAGACTCAACACTGCTCATAGACTCAACACTGCTCATAGACTCAACACTGCCCATAGACTCAACACTACCCATAGACTCAACACTGCTCATAGACTCAACACTGCTCATAGACTCAACACTGCCCATAGACTCAACACTACCCATAGACTCAACACTGCTCATAGACTCAACACTGCCCATAGACTCAACACTGCCCATAGACTCAACACTGCCCATAGACTCAACACTACCCATAGACTCAACACTGCACCATAGACTCAACACTACCCATAGACTCAACACTACCCATAGACTCAACACTGCACCATAGACTCAACACTGCCCATAGACTCAACACTACCCATAGACTCAACACTGCCCATAGACTCAACACTGCCCAGAGACTCAGCACTGCTCATAGACTCAACACTACCCATAGACTCAACACTGTCCATAGACTCAGCACTGCCCATAGACTCAACACTACCCATAGACTCAACACTGCCCATAGACTCAACACTGCGCACAGACTCAACACTGCCCATAGACTCAACACTGCCCACAGACTCAACACTGCCCATAGACTCAACACTGCTCATAGACTCAGCACTGCCCATAGACTCAACACTGCCCATAGACTCAACACTGCTCATAGACTCAACACTGCCCATAGACTCAACACTGCCCAACCTCCCTACGTTCTCTCTCTTAAATCCTCGCCTCCTCCTCCACTCCCCTCGCCCCTCCACTCCTTCCCTCCCCTCCCCTCCCTAGCCCTCCCCTA